TGTATAGATTATCTCATAGGCGGCGAAGCCTGTTTTCTAAGAGTGCAAAATATCATAATAAAATAGATTGATGAAATAATGTGATGGAGAATATTCTATGTAAATAGCACTATAATTATACGATAAATGTTTTTTCTTCAAAATCACATAAAACATCATATGAGATAATTAGAATTCGACATAATTATTCTTAAAGCAAGATATAAAATAACATGTTAAAATGAGATCCATTCCTATTTACGACCTTCGGAATAGCTGTTAGACAAATTACAGCATAGATGATGATAACAGGATAATAACTCATTGAGATAATAGTTGTAGATATTCTCCCTCGCTATCGATCATCGGTTAATAGACGTTAAGTGTCTATAAAGCAATTCAGGACAATTATGAAAGATATTCCTTCTCTTGTAATGAATGCCGATAGGCTTTCCGTGATAAATTTACTGTTTACGAATACCGGTACTTCATTCCGGATCGCATCATCATTATAGTAACATTATCGTTATATCAACGCGTTTAGAAACATAAAGAAAACCGTTTAACAAATTATTTTTATAAAAATATATTTCTTTCTATTTTTATTGTGACTAGTTTTACTTAAAATTCTTAATATTCATTACGCGGAACGTTTAACGTCAATTCATCACATTTGCGCGCCTTAACGATGACACGCAAATCATTTCCTGGGAAGTACTTTGTCGTTGACGTGTCGTTGACTGTGACTACATAAAGATACTGCAAGCACGTTCGCACGATTTTACATACTTGTTCGCGCGCGTGCGACGCTTTGGAAGGTATCGTACAACGCGCGTGTAGAACACGCCGTGATACGATAAATGTTTTTTCTTCAAAATCACATAAAACATCATATGAGATAATTAGAATTCGACAAAATTATTCTTAAAGCAATAATAAAATAAATAAAATAACATGTTAAAATGAGATCCATTCCTATTTACGACCTTCGGAATAGCTGTTAGACAAATTACAGCATAGATGATGATAACAGGATAATAACTCATTGAGATAATAGTTGTAGATATTCTCCCTCGCTATCGATCATCGGTTAATAGACGTTAAGTGTCTATAAAGCAATTCAGGACAATTATGAAAGATATTCCTTCTCTTGTAATGAATGCCGATAGGCTTTCCGTGATAAATTTACTGTTTACGAATACCGGTACTTCATTCCGGATCGCATCATCATTATAGTAACATTATCGTTATATCAACGCGTTTAGAAACATAAAGAAAACCGTTTAACAAATTATTTTTATAAAAATATCTTTCTTTCTATTTTTATTGTGACTAGTTTTACTTAAAATTCTTAATATTCATTACGCGGAACGTTTAACGTCAATTCATCACATTTGCGCGCCTTAACGATGACACGCAAATCATTTCCTGGGAAGTACTTTGTCGTTGACGTGTCGTTGACTGTGACTACATAAAGATACTGCAAGCACGTTCGCACGATTTTACATACTTGTTCGCGCGCGTGCGACGCTTTGGAAGGTATCGTACAACGCGCGTGTAGAACACGCCGTGATTCACGACGCTTTTGTGCCGGCCGAGGTCTTACTGTTAGGAGCACAAACGCGCGGTCGAGGTTTATTAACCTCTAGCGGGGACAAGAACGACAGGATCGCGAACAATCCTAGCGGGGAATCTCTTCGCGTTTCTACCGTGCAAAGAATCTCTCCACAGCTGTAAGAATGACACATTAGAAAGTATAATAATTAACTTTGCTCGATGGATTGTGCGGGAATTTAAATTACATTGCGTTGTAAAATGCGTACGGTGCGTAATCCCTTCGGCAGCAAGATCGCTCATTAACAGCGTACTGTGTCATTTTCGTTGACATACGACGGTATAGGAAGATGAATTTATAAAATTTTTATTATACTAATCAATAATTCCCTTATCACGACGTCATTTATTTAAAATTTAAACGAACAGATATAATAATTTTAATTAGATTAAATCTTGCCATGCGTGTTCGCGTGCTTTTAATAACGCGCATTCATTGCTTCAGCGTCGCAAATATTATTCATAAATTTCAACAATCGTTTATCGCGTAAGCCCGGCCCCAGAAACTAAATTAAGTTACACGGTTATGAGTAATGGTTACTTGCGCTCTCGTTGGGGTTACGTCTCATTGGTTTTCTTCCATATCGTGCCAGCATTACACTTAACTCGTACGCATTAAGCTTTTTTCCCCCTCGGGCCCAATGAAACGTCTCGCAAACGCTCCAATTTATAAACGTAGAATGTGCAACGGCCATTTTCATTAGGCACATTCGTCCGTAGTGGTAAGCGACGACGACGACCATAGCGAGGGGGGAGTCAGGGGCCACGTAATGTGACATCCTGCCGTCGCTTCATCTGCCAACCGTATTACCATATGTGCCGCTTCTCGTCTTTTATAAGCGCGACTCTTCCTCTCGCATGCAGTGATGCTCAACGCATTATCGGGAGATTCGCCTGATTGATTTGCTCTAATTTAATTTTAAAAAAAGTATTGCCAATGTTGTTCAGTAGAGATAAGCATAATGTATTAATGAGATGATCACTAATAAAAGTCACTTTTCAATGACGGTACAAGAAACCAAATAGAATTATCTTGATAAAGGGAAAATTAGGACGCTGCTTTTTTATTAATTAGGATGCTTATTTTTTAGTTTTTTTTTCTTTTTAACTTTTTGGCTCGCCATTATACAAGTGATCAAAGGTAAATGCAATAATGTAACATAGCGTATAACAACTTATCTTGCTTCTTGAACATAAGTATTATAGTATTGAAAAAAAAAAAAAAACTGCATTGATATATTACTTTTGTTTTTGAATTCGTACCAGTTTCGTAATTTTTTTTTCTTATTTATCTCTCGAAAAGAGAATTCTCTCCACCAGTTTTAAGAGTTCTCGACAAAACGCTCCCCAGTCGTTGAATCGTCATTATCGTCGTCGCTCGCGTTTAGTTGTGACTGCCTGTTGGCAGGCTCGTCTAATCTCTTGTATTATCCCTCGGGAGGTATCGAAACGAGCCGACGAGATAACCGGATGCCGTTAGATATGATTTTTACGAGCGTGTGTCTGGGAGTGCGAGCGTAAACAGCCCCGCGGCCTTATGGAGTCCATGTGTAGACGAGATATATATTTTGTCGGGAGCCCTAAAGAGTCGTGTGTCGTTCGTCCTGTTGGACCGAAGAAGCCTCTCGTAGAAAGCTCGATTTCGAGCCTGCATTAAGGATGCGTAAAGATTAGAATAGCCGCCGCTCAATGCAACAACTTGAGAGTTTTATGACGCAATTAATCGGCTATTATAGAGCAGAAGAGCAAACTCTGATACAACCGGTCATTATGCTTATAAATCTTTAGGGCCTTTTTCCCATACTCTGAATTATTCTTAGTGATCCTTTTTTTCTCAGGAAATAAAGAAATAAAAATTTAAGCATCGTGGAAAATGTGAAATGCAGGATTGTTGTCAACATTTTCGTAGATATTATATAAAATATCTTATAAAGATAAGATTGGAGGGAGGAGGCGAGGGGAAGGTTAATAATCAACCTTTTTTTAATTCTTAATGTTTTCTAAATTTTCCGGCAATGAAGCTGTATCTAAAGAGTAAGAGTTATAAGTAACAAGACACTCCCCGACTATATGTGACATCGAAATTCGATGCGTCGCGCGCGAGCTAACGAACGTTGCACGTACGGCGCGTAATGTTTGCTCAGACGAAATACGATTTTATTTAAACATCGGCGACTTTCTAACGGGCCGACTGTTCCGGGTCGTACTGCGTGGCAGCTTCTTTTTCCAATGTTAACCCAAATATCCTCCTGACGAGTCATCTCGCATCAACTCTGTTTGAGCAGCATATAGGTTCAACGCACTGTCATTAAAACGAGCACCCAGTTAGGCTAGCGCAGTCGTTTGAGCAGATGTTCGGCGAAAAACGAGCTCTGAACAAACAGGAAGGGATTGAAGGGATGAAATAATACTACCGCCAGTGATATATGTATCTTGATGAATGATCGTAGTCAAATTGCACGAAAGGGATCTATAGTTTCTTCATTCAATCTATAATATCTTTTCTTTTCTTTTAATATTATATGTAAATCTTAAATATTGTTTAGGCCAAAAATTAGTTGAAAGAGGAACATGAGAAGAATCTTAGTAAAATTTGTAATATTATTTCAAACTGCGATTTATGTCAAATTTTTGTAGAAATTGAAAAGAAAACTGTGCCATTTCCATTTAATTCACATTGTGAACTACGCGACTAGACTAAATCCCTTATTGTCCATTATCGGTTTTGAGCCGGCAAAATATCCCCCGTTGATCTTTGTCATACAAGGGTGTACGCATCTCGAATCTCTCTTAAACGGCGCACTCATCTGAATCAATAGCGTGACATTGCATTAAAACGTTTTTTCTGGAGGGATGACGGTCATCAGATGCCATCTGCCATTTCAACTACTCGCGGTAAATCCAGGATTTTGATGCCGCGTCGAGTCTCGTATCTGAATAACGTATGTATGTGCACGACGATGTAAGAGGAGACAGCGTGTGTGGGAAAGTGTTGAATGGCGTGAAATGAAATATCGCGTATAACGTACACATGTATTCTCTCTAAGCGTCGGATATAAAGTATCGACGTTTGTTATAAACGTCACGAAACATTGATGTACACGTGAACTACACGATATACATTTAAATCGCTATTATTATAAATTGTAATTTACAAGACGCCGCAAATTACGATATTACTGGACGAAACAACAATGAGTAAAAATAAAGTTTAGAAAATCTATTCTATGAAATTTATAAAAATTAAAAAACATTTTTTAATAACTATACATCTCTCTTAGATTACTGGAATTGGCAAACAAGTGCGATTTGCTTTCCCTTTACCGGTTTCGCGGCTGTAAATTATACTTCTACTTTTGCGCTGGAGATGATGCACTGACCAGAGTGATTTCTTTTTCCATTTGCAGCATGCGAACAACGTGCGGAAATATGCGGGCGACTACGTGGCGCGACGTCAGGCCCGCAAAATGCCGATGACACGCTCGATAACCTCCCTGGCGCTGCCGATGAGCCAGGTAGGTGACATGCCCTACCTGCCAAACGCCAAAGCCGGCACTTTCTTCGCCCGCGACAACGTCTCGAACTTCATCGACTGGTGCCGCAACAGTCTTGGCATCATCGAGTGCCTGCTCTTCGAGACCGAGGATCTGATAATGCGTAAGAACGAGCGACACGTGATATTATGCCTGCTGGAGGTGGCGCGTCGCGGCGCCAAGTTCGGCATGCTCGCACCGTTGCTGGTCCAGATGGAGAGGCAGATCGATCGCGAGATCGCCGCCGAGAACAAGGCGGCGAATGGCGCCGACAACGAGGAAAGCGACGACGAGTACGAGGAAGAGCCGTGTCTCATATACGGACCGCAGCCGCAAATCGTCACGAACGATCTCAAGACCCTCCACGAGTTGGTGAGTGAAAACGTATACGATCTTGTGTTGCTTAAGACAAGCTCTCGCGCGACTCTCGCGAGAAAGAATGCTTTTACGTTTCTCGTTGACGGCTGGAAAAAGGTGTGCGCGACGTGCAAAAATTTAGCTAGTTAGAAGCAAACAAAACTTTTTATTTAATTTCTAAGGCTTCAATACAAGTGGGTTTCAACTTTTCTGAATTCGTATGCTTCTCGAAGCACGCCGCTTTGTAATAATGATCGCTTGCGACTTGTTTACGATGCTTCTCGGAATCTTTCCGCGGTAGCTTTCTCAGTGATTCGCGGCGCCGATTCTGCTCGATGCCTCGTCGATTAAATCTCGGTGGCCTCGAATATATTCCAATGGCACGTTTCGTCGCGTATCATCGCCAACAGCGATCGTAAACGTGCCGCGGCTATGAAAATAACTCGCACCCTTCGGTGCATATCCGGGCGTATTTATGGCGGTCCCAACTCATATGCCGGGCCGTGAATATCGCGCGATCGAGAATAGGAGAACGGATGTTTTGAGATACTTAAATCTAATGAACTATCGATAGTTTTATTCATTTGATACCGCAACGACTTGACGACGACGATATCGTTAAAAATAATTAGGAGACGAATGGTTTCTGCAATAGTTAACATAATCGCGCAATATGCTTTAAATTTTAAACCGAATTTTATACCTCAAAATTATAATCAATTTATAGTATTGATATTGATTAATTTCAATCATTAATTTTAATTTTAATAATGTTTATTACACTTTGAATTTTCGCATAGCGCAACGACAAACTCATAATTCAAATTACGCTAAAGGTCGCGTGAATATAATGATAAAATAAAGATTTTTCAAATTCTGGAATATATAGATCAATTATTCATTTTTTTATTATCATAAAATGTCACAGCTTATTACTCCTTTTTTTTTTTCTTCGCGCGCATAGACGCTTCTTTGACAGAGAAAGGGCCGACCGTTCCCACCGTGTCACGATATGCGGCGTGTGTGACCTATCCGGCATTTTATTATCGACCGATTATTATAAATTAACGGGTAACGATCACGCGCGCATGTGGAACGTTAAATGTCTCGTCGTGCACGCGAATCGCACTGACGGCTTGGCGTCGCGATAATTTTTTCGCCGCGTCATTAATTGTACTGCCGCTGGCGGAGAATGCGACGCATCGGCTGACACTTTCTCCCCCCTTCTTCGATGATGTAAATGTAATATTCTCTATATTTCTCAGTCTCATAGTGGTGACATTTCGTACCTTCCTTATACTTCCGCTCTAGACGCGACGATACGATAGAGCAATGACATAACTAAGAAAGGTCCCCTGCTGAGGAAGTTAGGGAAGCTTTAGTCCTTATCTTTGCAAACAGTTTCTATTATAATATTTATTAGGCTTGAGAAATAATATGAAAAAAATATATATATTTGAAAATATTAAATTTGTGTGTATATATTAATATTTAAATTTATTATACACATATTATTTATTATTCATATAATTTAAATTGTAAATTATTATTTAATAAACTGCCTAATAAATCATATTTAATTGTTATTTAACTATTTATTAACTTTGCATTATTTATAGTTATTTTTGAAAGGCAGTGCGGTATGACAATTTTGTTTGACTGAGGGCGACCGGCTTGTATCGACTAAAAATATCGGATTATAGTCGACTGGCGAGTGTGTCTAACAGCGGCGATTACCAGTGGCGATACACGCGACCGGTATACGTGTAAGCGATGCTAAATCGCGGCATTTCACGAAGCGGAATAATTCCTTCCCCAGGGCTTACAGCTCCACGGCGGACGATAACGTCGCGGCGCGCGGCTTCTCGCCTCTCGTATAGAAATTCCAGGACGCTTTCCCGCGAGGTCGAGGCTCGTAGCGTATACGTATACGCTCGCGGAAGGTATACGAGCGCTTTATCTGTTCCGAAAGAAAATTTCGACATAATCGTAGAATGTTACGATAAATCTGCTCCTTGCGATAAATCTTTCCTTTTTTTTTTTTTTTACGGGAAAGGCCCATTCGTAAGACTGTACTTACATACGTTTATGACGTAAAAGTAAAAGATTGTTTCCTAGGACGGATATGACGCAGGAAATAAGACGAATTAGTATGAAATACCAATATCTTTTAACCAGTGTAAAATATCAATATTTTTTAACCAGTTCCTTACTAGAAACACGGAATTCCTTAAACTGTCACATTAAAATGCAGATTTTTACATTCGATTTGAAGATATTGATATTTTCAGATAAATAATCATATCGCGTTACATCAGTTTAAAAAATAATACTTTTAATCAAGATCTTCAAAGTTTTTTAATAACGATAAAATAACAGGAATCAATTAAATAATGATAAATTAACGGGGATAAATTAAAATTAAAATTACTTTTTGGCAAAATACGTCAAAGATAATAGTGAAATGATAATTCGCAACTCTGGCATCGTAAATAAGTGATATCCTGTTTTAAAAAAGCAACAACATGATATCATTCTTGATACAATGTGTAATACAATAATAAGCTTATGCAATCGAAACGCGCGTTGATATTACGATATTGATAAAAGTAATTATTTGTAGCCTTCGGTATCAAGCGGGAAATATCGAGGCGAGAGCGTCAATAACTTGCGGATTGTGTATCGTAATATCATTAACACCCCTAGTAGATAGAGTTAAGCGCTGCCAGCGTTAGCGGTAGAATCGAGCGCGTGTTACCGCCGTAAATCTCGTGGGAGCGTCATTATAGCCGCCGTTCAAGCGTATTGTGCGTCGATTTTCGCGATCGGCCGCCGATATCGCCGGATAAATTTCACTTTACGCCGCGGGGAGGCCGAGCGACGCCGCGCGCCGGTCTCAAGTAGTAATATACCGTGAAAGCGTTGCCCACCGATTCCAATAAAGTAGAAGCGAGCTGAGGCGAGCCGAGAGAGAAGCCGCTTTGTCGGCTCCGTAATTAACGGAAATATTTATCGCGTCCCAACCGCCAAACATACCGGGATCTGGGTTTTCCATTGTCGCCACAAGTAAAAATTTTTGAGTAATAATAAAATTAAGATAAGGATTAATGCAATATTTAATTACCTAAAATGTGTGGAAGGCTAAAGAGAGGATTATCTACAATTTAAAAAGGACTTACAATTAGCGCGAAACGTCTTGAGACAATTTTGATTTTAATCCTATAATTTTCTTTGAATTACAAGGAGTTAATACTCTTACACCGTGTCGCGATTCTTGCTCGTATAGTAAACCCTGAACGCGCGGGATATGTTGAATCGAGATTGAATCTCGAGATGACGATTACGTCGTCTCGTGTCAAATGTCGGAGTGTTCAAAGCGGCAACTCGCCGCTTTATTGATAATTAATCTAATCTCTCTTTACGCCGTGAGATACAACGACACGAAGGCACATTCTCCGAAGCGTTTGCTTTTACATTAAAGCCGTTCCTCGCGGCGATGCGGCGGCGATTCAAGGAGAGAGAAGAAAACGAGTAAGAGTATAAGAGCGTGTTTTACGTCGGCTATCAATTAGATTCGCTCTTGTCACGCGTGTTATCTTATCACGAGCGTTACGACTTTGTTAACCGCGTTTGATATAAACAACTCCGCGACCGATTTGCCTAATCGTATACAAGATGCGATTACCGCGACCTATGCTATGACAATTGTATAGCAATAGTTTGTTAATACGAAATACTCGTGTGTGCCTGTCGCATCAATTTTAATGATAAATAATTATTTGCCAAATAATTTCTTTTTCTGTAGTTGGATAATAATTATTGATCGAATAATCTCAGTATTTTATAGCAAAATATAAATTTTATATATATTTGTAATAGTTCTTTTCTACAGGAGCAATCGAAAAGCTTTGTTTTTTACAAAATCTTTTCTTTCGTTTTTATTTATGACAATAGTCAGCTGATAGCTTCATAAAACTTTTGTTAATTTCTTTATCGATAAAATTACACAAAATTCTTGTTTACTATATTACGGTTTTATTATTAATTTTGTATCATTTTTTCATCATTCGACCATTCATACAAACGTGTTATTTTTTTATATCTCTGAGAAATAAAATTTCTGATCATACGACGCATTTTCGTGCGGACTCTTTGGCTCATACGGGTGATTTCCTTGATTCACAATGATTTGGCGTCGGTGTGTTCCGCGTCCTACCGCGGTCCACGATAAGATAGCGCGTTTAACAAGGCTGAATCTAATCGATAGCCGAGGTAAACTGTGCAATTCTACCATGGTGCGGCACCACGCGTGTGTGTTTCGTTCCCTCGACAAGCGATTGCCGTAAATGGCGCAATGCGAAATCGTTGCCGCCAGCATGTTTAGTTATCGCGGAAGCGGATTAGCAACGCACGAAGACGGAACTTTTTATCTTTTCTTAAGTTTATATACAGTAATATTTTTTTTAATCTTACGAAACAGTTAACCGCGCCGTCCGCGCACCACGAATTCGCTGTCCGCGTCACTTTAACAAACGTGCAATTTTAGCGCGCGTTTATATTCCTCATCAATGCAATTTTGTACAGAGAATACTTAGTTTCCTTTGTATTTATATATCTATCGATAATATATCTATCGTAATATTTAAAGCCATGCACGTTTTACGTATTTATCAAATCCATTAATCTTGATTATAAAAAATATATTCAATTCTATTTTTTTACGTTTGTTATTTTTCAATCATATTTTCATCGCTACGGATGAATACGAAAAATTGGACAAATTACATTTTTTTTTTCTACATATGTATGTAAAACAGCTATTCTGCAAACGAATGCATTCAGAGAAAAAAAGAATAGTTCGCAAGATCCATGGTAGATTCTATTCAGGAAAGTTACCTCTACCCAGACGGAGCTTCGCCTCGCGAGCGCCGAAAGCTTGTATTGATCGCTGTTAGCCCATTTCGTATCAAGTTCAAGAGCAAAGAAGGCGAAGTTATTTCGAAGGACGAGGTCCT